GTGCCTAAAGGAGCTACAAGAAACCTGGAGAGCGGCTTTGGACAAGGGCCTGTAGAGACAGGACAAAGGGAATGGCTTTAACCTGACAGAGGGGAGATGGAGATGAGCTCTTAGGCAGAAGTTCTTCCCTGTGAGGGTGCTGAGGTGCTGGCACAGGGTGCCCAGAGAAGCTGTGCCTGCCCCATCCCTGGCAGTGCTCAAGGCCAGGTTGGATGGGGCTTGGAGCAACCTGCTCTAGTGGAAGATGTCCCTACCCGTGGCACGGGGTTGGAACTGGATGAGCTTCAAGGTCCCTTCCAACCCAAACCATTCCGGGATTCTGTGATAAGAGCAAGAATTTACTAGCTAAATGGTTTCTAGAAATGGATCTCATTGATGTAAATCAGGTTTAGAAAGCTTATTTTCCTCCTTCCCACTTTCAATCTGGGCTTACCTTCACAGTGGAATTCCCCCCAGCTGCTGGGACAGAGGCAGCTGTAGATGGCATTTTATGCTCTATGCTACCACCTGCAGCCCACTTCCAGTCACCACAGGTAACTGAGCGCGGACAGGACGAATCTGTCCCCTGTTGGATGGTGACCTCAGTAAAAGACCAACACCTCTCCGAAAAGGAATCAAGAGATACAAAAAGGGTGAAGGATGGTGGGAAAGATTTCTGTGTCCAGGAGTAAGTTGGAACAGAGTCTGGATTTATGCTCCATGCTTTTCTTTCAGGATGGATGTTGATGGGGTCCGCTCACTATCTTCCTGCTTGCCTGGTGTTGAAAATTGCATCTTCAGGAAAAGAAGCATTTTGGAAGAGAAGCGGTTTTGTTAAAACTCTCTGGTTTGTCAGATGTTCTGCTTTGCAAACGTTTATTTCTCTTACATGCACACCCACCTGGGTTTATTAAATTCAAAACTCCTACAATAGTTTTCCCTTTGTTCCACCCTTTGCAGCTGCAGAACAGCATGATATATTAATAAGAAAGTAATGGAAAAAACTTGATTTAGATTTCAAACTTCAGCCCAATAAAGTTGTTTCCTGTTTGTTTTGAGTTTTTTTTTTCCATTAAGAGTCCAAACTCCCCAGGAGTTACAGACGCTGTGTTCCACACAAGGGGAGCTCAGGACCTTACAGAACTCAGATTTTAACACACAGCTTTTCATTATTGTTTGCAGGATGAGGTCTGGTCTTTAAAATAGGAGAATGGGAGCCTGGAGCCAGGCTCTGTTCCCAGCTTTCCAACTGTCCAGTTGTTCACCTCTGGCCAGAATGCTAAGCTTCACTGTGAAACAGGATGATGAAATGCAAACAGCTATAGACAGTCTTTGAAATCTGCATGGGTAGACTGCTCCAGGTAAAAATCACACCACCTCTCTCTACAGGGGTATACATCCATATACTGAGAAACATTCCTCTAGAAAAAAATACCCATTTTACTCTGGCAGCATCTTTCGACTCACATACTAATAGTACCACTGAAATGCCGGCATTATGTAAAGGATGAAGGAGTAAATATCTGGACACAGAAGCAGAAACAGCAACTTGTGTAAAATAACCTATTTAGTCTGTTAAAAGTCTTGGTCAAGCCCTTCAGTTTCTCCTTGCCTCAGTTTCCATAGGTAGAAGTGGAATAAAAGAACCTGGTATTATGGTACATACATAATTTGTGAGGCACTCACATTCTGCAGTAAGCAAATATCTCTAAGTACCTCCAGCTCTGCTAAGCCAAGCACAGAGGATTTCACCAGGCAGCTGGTGTTTCCAGCTCTGGATGTTATCAGCACTTCATAGGGTAAACAGTACCGATGATGGTGGTCTGCGGAGCAGGTACCCCAGTTCACACCTTCTTTCCCTCCCAATAAACACACACAGAGCAAATCCAACTCCTGTGGTCACTGAGCTTCCAGCAAGCAAACACGCTGCCTTTTTTGCCATCCTCACTAAGGAGGGACAATGCGTCAGATGGTTCTATACAGCGATAATGTGTTAAGAGCCTCAGGTAGAAGCATATGCAGAAAGCAGTGGTTACAGAAGTACAGTTCCCATCCCCATCCAGACAGGCTTCCCACTGGATTCAGTGAGAGCTAGCACTTAGGAATCCTGGCAAGAGTTTTATCTTAATGACAGAGGTTGCAGGCTTCTGGTTAATCAAAAGAAGCCATTAGGAGAAAGGGATCAATTCAAGTAAAAATCCTTCTGAAATAACTAATGCTACAAGTATGTTTGTATCACTGAAAGAAGAGCTTTACTTTTCTACCACTTAAGGCTTTTCTTATTTAAACACCTCGATCTCATACCATCTTTCCTATCACTTTCAGGGCTTTTCTACTAGCAAATTAAACTAGTTTCATTAGTTCTTGATTTTATCTATCCTTTCCAATTCCAAGCAAAAGTAATGCATTATCTGTTCACAGACATCCTTAAAATCTTTGTGTGTGTGTGCTATTCTATTAAGAAAGCAACCAGCACAGCCAAAAATGTCTAGCACAATTGATTTACCTGTGTGTATCTGGTGAAAAATGTCTTCCTGTAGCTTTCGAAGCTACAGGGACATTGTCCCTCATTCTACTCATCCTCTGAAAAGAAATCTCCAGTGAGTAATTTTGCTTTGTAAAAGTCACATCACAATGTCTCTACACACACAAACATTCCTGCCTGGTTCCTCGAGTTCAAGACTGCATAAATCTTTCATGTGTCAAGACAGGTGTTGGTTTCTATTCCTTTTCAGCTGGGAAATAACAATAAATCTGAGTGATTAAGGTCAGATTTTAGCAGTCCTCAAACCACAGAGAATCAGAAAATGTATGCATTTGACATGCCATTCTTTTGACAGACCAGGTCAAGATGATGCTACTGAACACTGTCAATATAACTATCCATTTATTTGTGGGTCTTTCCTAGAAAGATGTCCAGTGTTTACCAGCTTTGTACTTTAGAAGGGGCATAAAGTTAGCAAACAAAGTTATAAAGTCCTCAGATAAACCTTCTAAACATACAAGGCCTGAATTTCTTCTCCCCTATCTGTGACTAACGAGGACTTGATTGCATCTCTGGGTTTACTGCTGGGTGAAAAAGATCAGAGCTGACTTCTCCCAGCAACTTTTGACCTGACTGCAACATATTAAATCTGGCTAAAACAAGCTACATGACAAGGGGGGAAAAAGATAGTTCTTCTAGCAGTAGAGTTACTCTAAGTGAAAGATCTTAAGGATATCCGCACTTTATAACTGCCTGTTTGCAACCCAACCGCTCCGACGCTAATCAACCCCTCGCCTGCAGCAGAAAACCTTTCCCAACAGCCAACCCTGCCTCCCCAGCATCGGCTTTGGGATCCGAGATGGAAAGCATGACTAACGATAGAAGTCGCTGAGATCGTTTTCCTGGGGGGCTGCGTGCCTTGGGCCGCGTTTCTGAGCTCTCCCCCCATGAAGGTGGATAAGGGGGTGCAGCTGGCGGCGGGATGCTAGACCGGCAGATGATCGAAACGTTCCCGCCGCTCTGCTCGGGATGGAGAGCTCCGGAAGGGAGCAGTCATTCCCCGCAGCGGAGAGAAAGCTCCGAAGGGGAGCAGTCCCCGCAGCCCCCCACGGACCCACCCTAATTACCTGCTCCCCAAGGGACCCCCGAGGAAACCCCTCCCATCCCCAAGCGATGCTCCTGCCCCGGTGCTTACCCCACAGCAGCAGGACGGGGAGCTGCGGCCGGCGGCAGCCCGGCGCCTCCATCCCGGCGGCGAGGGGCCGCGATGCTCGGAGCCCGCATGGGGCGGCCGGTCCGCCGGCGCGCAGGGCCCGGGCCCGCCTCAGCCGCCCCGCCGCGGACCCTCCTCTTCATGCCTCGGTGGCCAGCCTCGGGCGGCGGCGGGGGGCGGGACCCCACGGGGGGAGCCGCTCCCCCGACCCGGGAGGGGGGGGGGGGTCCCAGCGCCGAGGCGGGCAGGGAGAGGCGGGATCCCGCGGCCGGCGTTGCCGCGGAGGGAGCGCGATGTATGCGCAGGGTGCGCACGGTGGAGGGTGAATGTGTGCGTGTGAGCTCGGGAGCGTGCATGTGCGGGCACACCGGGCATCCCTCCGAGAGCCACACAGCAAGGAGGGATGCTTCTCGCGACCTCCAGGGCAGGGTGGTGTTTGGGGAGGGGGGAGAAGTTCCCATTTTGGAGGGGAGATGGTTCTGGTCCCAAGTGTCCGAAGGCTACAGGGAGGCACAACAGCCTCCCCCATTCTGGCACAACATCCTGGCACTGGGGCTGAAGGCAGAAAGGAGGATGGAGCCAGGAGGTGGCTCGTCTCTTCACCCAAGTAACAAGTGATAGGACAAGAGGAAACAGCCTCAAGCTGCGCCAGGGGAGGTTTAGACTGGATATTAGGAACAATCTCTTCCCCGAGAGGGTGGTCAGGCACTGGAACAGGCTGCCCAGGGAATACAGCAGGGCAGTGGTGGAATCACTGTCGCTGGAGTGTTCACAAACCATGTATATGAGGCCCTCAGTGACATGGGTTAGTGGTGGCCTTGGCAGTGCTGGGGAACGGTTGGATTTGATGATCTTAAAGGTCTTTTCCAACCTAGTTGATTCTATGATGCTAGCACACTTAGTATGTGCAGCTAAACATGGGCAGTGAGCTAACCTAACCCCACACAGCACCAAAGCAGAGCAGCAGGAGCTCAAAGTAAGTGCTTAATGTGTTTTTGTGTTGCCATGTCATCTCTGCATGGCTCTTTTCAGAGAATGGCACAGCTCCTAATTTTCATCAATATTTAAAGGCTGCGTTCCTGGAGCTCTCTCTCTAGGAAATTAGTGTCTCCAGCAAGAAACACTCAGCTGAGAAGCTGCTGAAGAAGCCTCTTCTTAGCTAAAGATAATTGTACTGCTCAGCAGTATAAAGAGCCAGAGTGTGTTTCTAGGTACATGGACGCTCCCCCTCAGTAACTGCCTTTTAGCAGAACATCGCTGCCATTGCTAAAGGTCAAATGTACCATAAAACTTCGTATTTCAGAAAGATCTTAATGCCATACACAAGAATAAGGAGTGCTTTTATGTATCTCTCAGATTGTTCCCAGTGAATCTGTACACTTGTATAGCATGGTGCTTTCAAACACTTTGTGGAGAGCGGGTACCCAACAGAGTAGCAGAATTATGCATTGCACATGCCTCCAAAAGCAAACTACTCAATACACAAACTCCACCTGATTTATGCTGTTATCTAGGCTGAAGGAAATGTAAAACTTGGGAAACCACAGAGAAGGTTGGAAATCCAGTGCTGAAACAGCTCTGCAGACATTTAAGTGTGTCAGTTATAATGAACCTCCTATCATTTGTGTGCCACTTTTTCCTCTTGGCTGAAAGCAAACCTGGTAACACACCACAAGCCATAAATAAACCATAGCTCAGGAGATCATCCTTCAGCAGAGGGGCTGCCACTTCTGCTTTGTAAGAGTGTTTGCAATCTGCTCCTGCCAGAAGGAACTACACTGAAGTGACAAGCATGAAAGCATGCACACCACAGACTTGCTATAGCACCCTTCCTAATAGTGAGATCTTGATTCCCCTCACAGAATCTGTTAATGGCAATATCTGAAGCTACAATTTGTATTTTCAAGAACTTGGACTGATCTTCAGGAGGGTTAGGATGCATCGTGTTTTATATGCAATATTATACATTAAACAATATACAGTATATTATACAATATACAGTATACCAGCAACATTTTGTTGACAAATAAATATGGAGATAATGCTAGCAATTTCCCTTTTCATCTTTTGTATTTGGTTTCTTTCAGATGAGAAACTAGAAATTTTTAAAAGTGAATGTAAACTGCTTACAGCTACCAGGATTCAGCAAGGGCTTCCCATTTTATGCTTGCAGCAGGTAGTATAAAGGTGCAATTAGAGTCTTTGAGGTAGAACAGCTAAAATTTATAGATAAATGCACTAATTTGGAATGTTGCATTGAACCACAAACCAGCTATGCTAGGCGGTGTCTTCAGCAACATGCTCTAGAGTAAGTCTGATTCACAGGTGTACCTGAACAAAACTGTCAGAGTGTTCAGACCATCAGCAAGAGGCAACTCTGGCTGTTGGCAGTTTTTCATTAAGACTGCCTCTCCCCCATCTGTTTTAGTAATGCCAATAAATTTACTTCAGAAGGGCTGCAAACCTTTTTATTCTGCAAATCTTCCCTAGTAGCATCATGTCTATACCAACAGTAGAAACCCAGTTCACTTAAACCCGAGAAATGCTGTAAATGCTGTGCAAAGCTCTGAATCCCAACCCCAGCAATATGCAGTAGCAATAATGTCAAAGCCATAATCTGTTGTAATTTCCAAACAAACAACCCTTTGCAGGTACCCTGCAGACAGTGCTGCAATCACATTACTTGAGGCATGGTTTTAGAATATTTAAATCTGATAATAAGCCACTGACTAAAAAAAAACCTAAATGTAAAATTATAGCAATAGACAGGTAGGCAGTTGCTCCAGTATGGAAAGTTCCCAAGGAGTCTGAGATGAGATGGAAGGAGTCAAGCCATCCAGGGCAGGTAATATAGTGAGCAGTGCAAGATAATGTAATAAAATCTCATGCTCCAGAGGTTAAACTGGTCTAACATAAACTGAAAAATAGTCAGTGATAAAATAAATCAATAAGAAGCTGAAGACATTACACTATGGAAAGCAACAGTGCCTTCCCCTGTCACCTCAAGTACCAGCCTGGACAAAGCAGTGGCTTACCTGCATGGAGAGTCCTCACCTAGCACTGGGCAGAAAGTTTCCTTCTCTTCCTAGAACAGTTATTTTGCATAAAAGATACATGAAGATTTTAAGACCATGTTTTAATAGGACTGATTGCTGGACTGAGGTTTGGAAAACTAGGTTCAGTTCACCTGTGTTTTTTTATTAAAGTAGGTCATCTTTCCCACCCAGTGCTCCTAGGAGGCTTTTCCTGCTCCAGAAACTGAAAAACTATAAGGCAGGTCATTAAGATAATTTCCTCCTTTATATTCTGTTTGTGTAATTCCACACAAATCTTTTCTCCTTTTAGTATCAATATAGGAAATGTACAAACATGCTAAAAAAAAAAAAAAGATAGTTACAATGGCTTCTTCCAGTGACTCAAAGGCCACACTGTGATGCAGTGATTGCACATAAAAGCAGACTGCATTTTAAGTCAGTCAAATTTGATGAGCTGAAACTCTTAATGCCTATATTACCTGAACTGAAGGGGAAGAAAAAAGCTCACATTTCTCTATGTAAAGATCATATTTTTTTTTTTACATAAAAGCAGACAAGCATTAGGGAAGCTCAAAAATATTTTGCCAGCCTTCTAAAACTCCACTTTTTAAGCCACGCATGAATGTGCTCTCTGATTTCAGCAGGGATCCCATGTTCAGAGCAAAACATCTAAGCAATGTATATATGTTTCAAGCTGCACTGTTTCACAGCTCTAAGTATTCAACACCCCTAAGGCCATTTTATTTTACATACCTAGCTATGACATGACAGCCTTCCCACCGGCACAGCATGTGGGCTTTGTTTGAAGGAACCAGACAGAACATTCAATTACTTTGTTTCCATACTAGTTTCTGGGATGGTATATTGTCTGGATCAAGCTACTTCTATATACTACACCATCAACACCAATACCTACAACTAATAAAAATGGTTCCACAGATCACGATGGAGATCAAGGAAAGCAGACAGATTGTATAGGAGAATGGCAAACACCATCTCCCCTCTCTGCTGGAGGGAAGGTCCCCTGTCAAGGGTCCTCTACCAAGATGCCCACCCCTTGTTTTACAGCCAGGGGTACAAAAGGCTCTCATCAAAAGACCTAAGCATGAATCTGTAAGAGCTGGGATGTCTCCCTCATTCCCAGGTGTTTTTCTCTTACCAGAAGGGGCATCCCAAGGCTTCTGGTAACTGTATGTCATACACGTTGGGATCTCTTCTTCTCATTGTACGCAGTGATTCTTCTTTTTCCACAACAGGCAGAAGCTTTAGTGTAACAGAAAGTCTTTCTAATTTGTCTCAGACATGGGAAACAAATCATGCCTTCACTTTTAATGTAAACATTAGCAAAATGCATACAACGCTCTATTCCTTCTAGACTAAATAAAGCCAAAGTTAATTCATGGGGTTTTAAACACTTCACTGTCAGTTATGTTCTAGAGGCCCTGAATTTTTACTCAGAAAATGCATTTATTTTTTCATTACAAGCTGTCTGATCAGTCTGGGAAATGCCAGCAAGGGAATATGTAGACTGTCTGCGTACATGGCTGTGTCTCTGAGAAATAGCTTGGAAAAATCAGGGAGAGAAGAGAAAGGGAAACACACTCCATGTTTTTTTCTTTTTAGAAATAGTAACACTGTGACAATCTCTCTTCATACAAAACCTGACAGAGCTGAAGACTGAAATCTTACAGGACTGAGTCACCAATACTCTTGCAGCCATCTGAAGGAATACTCAAGGATCATTTCGTAACCTTTGGAAGACAGCTGACTCTGCAGAGATTGGTGAAGCAGTACAAACCTACCTGCAATAGAAAGCAGCAAGCCTATTAGAGTTCCCTCTGAGCTCAGGACTTCTGACTCCACAAGTAGGCTCTGATTAGTGCCTTATGAACCATCCAGTATCTCCCTAGCGTGAAACCAGACTAATTATATCCTTCTTAGGTGCATGAAAGACTGGCTTTAGGGCTGAGCAAGTCAGATCCTAGGATACTTCTTAGATAGGAAATTCCATACCTTTCCATTCCAGGTGGAAAATGTTGCCATGGTAAATAAAATGTTATTTGGAGGCACAAAATGAGTGCAGTGCACAACACTTCTAATTTTCTGGCCCTAATTCCTACCATAGCTGTCCTTCTGAAGTTAAAACCCCCATATTTTCACAAACACTTTCACCCCGCTATTACATTCACACAATTATACATCTACCATAACATATCATCCTACTTTAATCCTGTCATCTTTACAGCCCCAAGGCAACCCCATTTCATGCACAGATCGCTTGCACCTCTGTCCAGACACACTTCACAGCATTTGCTACAAACTGCATAAGAAACGAACTCAGGCACAGAGATTGCCTTGCAGTGTTTTACTTGGCCAGTTTCTCTTGCAGGGTGATGGTGCAGAGCTCCAGTTTCCATTACTTGAGGAGAAGAGCCAGAAAGCTTCCCCAGTGTCATGCACTTGCTTTCCTACCTTCCTTTCCCCTGACTGAGAAGTGATGCACAGTAAATACTTTTACTTCTTAACGGGAAAACCGGAGAAAATTCATTGGCAGTGTGCCTAAAGCACATCACTGGTCATCACTGCCATTGAAAAAGGGAAGGGAAGAAAGAAAGGTGATGTGCCAAAGACACATCTTTGCTCGTGTTTTCTGTCACTGTCACAGATCTTTCCAGGGGTCTCAAATGTCTCCATTCACAAGGGTTTTTTTCACCTTTTGAGCACACACTTTCAGAAGCCTTGGGATTCCCTCCAAATGACTTCAATAAATAATTATTTTCCTCACATAGCAATGAACCCACTGTTTGCATTTGAGTGCATCAATTAAAGGTTTAATCAAGTTTATTGCACATATAGAAAAAGGAGCATCTGCTCAGATTCTGCTGGCCCCAAATGACAGAGAGTAGCTCAGTGTGCCAAGGGACCATGACTCTCATTTGAGAGAATGACATGTCTCAAACGTCTGGAGCAGCACAAAAATTAGAACAGGACATGCGTAGGAACAGGGAGTTGGAAGATTTATTGTTGTAGCACTTGCTGTCTTCCCCCTACAGCAAACAGCAGCGTATGCTGCTGAAATGTGTGCGCTCAATCTCTGATTCACTGAGAAGTAACCTACGTTTTAAGGAAATTCCAGCTATCATTAAGAAAAGTGTGTGCTTATGGATTAGCTCACATTAAACAATATCTATCCTCAAATAAAGTTATAAAATACACAAGAAAGGAAAGATTTTTCCTTTCAAATATTCACCGTTTATAAAATGCATCTTTCTTCATAAAGCTACCTTGAACAGAATATCTAAACCTTCACATTTAATTGATTTGCTGTAGAAATCTCTCACTGTTTTTATCTCTAGTAATAAAACGTTCTGTATCTCACTGAAGTATCAATGAAATCATACATGGGATCTCTTCTTACCATCAGTCCTTTTTGTTTTCAACTTAGAAAAGATCGGAAACAACAAAATGAGATAGCAAGACTGTTCCATGCAAAGGAAGTGAACAACTAATACAGATGAGCACAAATACTTTAAATAACTTAGAATAACTGAGATAGGCATCTATTTTATTGGTAAATACAGAGGTAAAATACTCCAAAGGCGAGCTATTTTTACCATTATTTCCTGAGATTTCTAAATCAGAGGAAGGATGTGAGTAAGTGGATGACAGGCAGCGCAGGTGGTGGAGCACCGGCACACATGCACACTCACCATCTCCAACTACTATATCAGCCTGTTAATGAATTAGCTACAGCTCAGTGATTTCAGGTGGAACTTACTGCTTGATTCTGGCAAGTGTAACAGGAATACTTGAAGCAAAGCCCAGTGTAAAAAGTACAGGAGAAGCTGCACTAGGGGAAGCAAGAGGTATCAGAAAATATGAAATCTCCACCAGCCCAAAAGCAAAACCGAGGTTTAAAGTTCACAGTAAAGTCAGTGATGAATTATGTGCCAAGGTGGGCTTTTGCACTGCTGTTGCAAGTGTGTCATTTACTTCGATCATCCATCAGATCCTATTAAATAAATGAGAGTTTCAAAACCAACTCTAAACAGAATAACCTGAAAAAAAATACAATCATACTTCCCCAAGAATGCTCAGAGTGCATGCTGGGGGGGGAAGCATAAATATTGAACCAAAAACATACGCCTGTGCACACCATAAATTAGGCAACCATTTTTAAAAGGCAGTATTACCTCCAAATACTTTTAAGTTGCTCTGTCTTCAACACGTGTCCCAACTGTCCCTCTATCAGGACAATCTCTGGTTATTTTTTGCCTACTCTTCAGAATATTTCTATCTTAATTCTGAATAAAATTAATTGATTGAGCTTGAGGAAAGCTGTGTTCATGAGTTGAGCTAGGAATTCCATCTCTTAAATGAATACATTTCCTTTAACATTTCTTCATTTCCTCAAAGGAATGAATAAAAAGATCAAACAGATCATAATTTCCTGAACACCATTTCTTTCATTTGTCTGTTTTGCTGGGTATAAAATCAGCATTTTGGGTAGCATTGTGACAGTTTGTGAGATGGGCTCAGAAAGCCTGAGCATGAGATTATTCCCAAGGTGAAGGCTTCCATGGATTTACATTAGATCGGTCTGTGCAAGAGATGGGCACAGATGTTTCCTGCAATCATAAGATATAGATTTATTTTTCTCAATTAATTTCTTCTGGAACCTAATAAATATTAATTAATTGAGAGAAGGGCTTCCATTAAAGACACTAATCTTCCTAAACAAACTATACAAAAACCTGCTGTCCAAACAGAACACTCAAGCAAAGAATTGGTTTAATCACATAAATTCTTTGAATGGTATTATCTTGACCAAGTAAGAGAAAGTAGTTATCGGCACAGAGATGATACAGGTAATCACGATTAAGATGTCAAACTCTACCAGTGAGAGACACCCTGTGGTAAGAGCCTGAACTGTCACCACTGCTGTCGCCAGCAAAGAAACTGCAGAACAAATTCTTTATAATGATTAAATAACAGATTAGAAAGTTAGATTAGATAAAGATAGATAACATATTAAATAAACGATAGATTCTCTTATGGAGGTGGGAGAATGAGAGGTTAATCTGGATCATTTTAACAGAAACAGGCTCAGGGGAAAGTACATGTGGCTTTATACTGGCTGCCTCGATGGACTGGAATCGCAAGCTCGACTGAAACCAGCTTGTCAGCAGGTAAAATATACAAATGAAGTAAGAAACCCCTATCACTTACAGAATCTAAAAAAAATATTTAATTCTCAAAGCATAAAAATATTAGGGAAATATCTCTTAAACACATATACCTCATTTAAATTGCTCCATTAAATGAGTCTGAACACAAACAGCATCAAGATAAGCTGTAGTTTAATAAACTAAACTGCTAAGCATATGGTTGAGCAGCATGTTGCCTCTATTCGGCTGTCTTGCACGTTCCACATGGTAGTGCTTCCAGGTAAGACCGTTAACAACACTGACATAAACTCCTCTGACTCATTTCTCTTAATAGCTTGGAATAAATGTCCATCATCTTCCTGAACTACAATGCTAAAACCTCATGCATTATTCCACCCCTACTTTTCATCTCTACAGGCAACAACATACTGAACATATTTTTCAAGCTTTCAGCTCCCTCTACTGGGGAAACATTATTAAAAAACAAAAAAACAAACCTTAGTGTTTTGTTATTTAAACCAATGTAGGAGTGAAAAGATTTAGACTAAAAATAATGTAAGAAAACATGTTTTCTTGTTTTTCCCTGTGTTGAGCGGCTCAGTTTTGAACTGCTTCTGTCCAGAACTGGGCATCATGAACCTAATCTTGAATTACTCTAGAGCATGAAGTGGCCAAACCTCACCACAGCCTCTGCATACAACTGTGACAGATCCATCAGATGAACTGGAAATAAATACTCAACTAAAATTCATGCAGAAGTCATGCAGTGAAGGGGCCACACCAGTTTCATTCAGCATACACTGTGTCTGTGGAAAGCTGCCTCTATATACATCATCACAAAATATCACGCCACTGAAGAAAACAGCTCTAAAAACTCTTTCAAGGACACATATCACAAAGGTTAAAAGTGGAAACAGGATTTTATTCCCTGTTATTTCATGTTACATTGCAGAGAGCATTTCATAGCCAATGCTCACAAGCACCAACACAATGCACATATGTAGCCAGTAGCAGGCTAATATATTCTTCAGGTTAGCCTGAAAAAACATCCCTTGCAGTCTGGGAAAGGAAAACCACAGAAAGCAGCAGCAAGAAGACAGAACAAGCAGTCCCTGTCTCCTGAAGACTGAGAACGTGAAGAATGAGCATCCACACCAGCTACACACTAATGTGCAAGAAGACGGGCAGCAAGGCTGGAGCCCTTCCAAGCACAGGCTGCTGTGCACAAGAACCCCTGGGGAAATGGAGCCAAAGGAACAGCAGAGCTCACTCCTGCTCTGAGCCTATGCTGTGTAATGAAGCCAGAGAGAGCCAGGGCATGAGTGGTGCCCTGGAGGGATGAGAGCAGCGGGCGAGAACCAAGCTCAAAGGACCCTGACAAGGGGCTGTGCTCAATGCAACAGAGGACAAGCAGCAACTCCCACGGGCTGCCCTGGCAGTCGTAAAAGCTTCCTCCCCCCAGATGTGGGGCAGGAGAGGCACCCATGTGGAGCAGGAGCAGAAGCCTTTGGGCCACAATAGCCCAAAGGAGTCCTGTCAAGGGGCTGGCTCACTGCTGCAGAGGAAGGCAAAACCCCCCACACTTGCATGCCTCCGTGGGGGAAAAAAGCCTTCCCCCCCAGCTGCAGGACACGAGGGGCCACCTTTGTGGTCAATGAGCAGCAGGCAGTAACCCACCAGAATGACCCAGATAAGCCCTGACAAGTGTTCCTGCTTCACGCTGCAGAGGAAGGCAAAAAGACTTTTAAACTCTTTGGAAAAGAAGTAGATTCTTGTAGCCCTTACAAATTTAGAAGTACAGTGTGCAAATAGCATTAAAGAGAAAAAATGTTTGAGTGTGAAGAAGATAAGTCAGGGAGCTATAAAAATTCCGTATGGTTTTCTAATACAAGTAACTAACTCCTTTGTATCTTCTGATATTTAAGAATAGATTAAGTATTGAAAAATACTAAGTAGGGAACAATGCCACCAAGAGTCTGAGGGAATTGGACTAGATGACTTCAATTTTTCTTTCGGGATATGCACTTTAACAAAAGCCAGGATGACTCTTTGTTCAAAGAGGCTGACAGGAAGAATGTAAAAGATACTGAAGATGAAAGCCAAGAGGTTCAGAGCTTGAAGAAATGCTCTGCTTAGATTAAGGAAAAGAAAAATCATGCAACCAGTAGAAGAAAGAGCAGGTATTGTAAGATGAGTGAGGAGAAAGCTACTACATGTGGTTTATAAATCAGCGTAACAGAGACAAGAGATACGAGGTAAGATGGATCAGTTTTCAGACTGACTAAACCAAGGTTAGCCCAATGATAATAAACTATATGAAAAAAAGACAAAAATCACAGAAACTAAGAAAACCAGAATAATTTGGGAATAAGTGTCTCTGGGGGTTGTGGGGTTTTAGTCACTGACTCAAACTGATCTGTCAACACTTCGATGTTAGTAAAGCAACAGGAAAAGAAAAAATCCAATTTTTTCTTCCATTTTTAACTCATGTTTTTATTGGTGAATGTGCAAGTTTGGAAAAATCTTAGGGCTTAAATTTCAAATGGAGCTTTGATTTTGGTGGAAACAGTTTCTCTCTGCACATAGAGAATAAATAATGACAATTAACCGATGACATGAATTTGGAGCAACAAGATCCTATAGCTCACACAGTGCAAAGGGGCAAAAGTGCCTCTGTTCGTGCTTACATACTCTGTGTGTGGCCTGCTTCCTTCATCTGCTAGATAGTAAGGTTCACTCAGCTATTCAACTCATGTTCACAGGCCTTGTGCCTAGAGGTGGCTAAGCAAAGTACGTAGGTAAGAGAGGACAGTAAAAGTAGGAATTAGGGCAGGGAGGGAATAACTATAACACAAAAAACTCCACAGTCATCAGCAAGAAGTTTGAAAGAGTTCAGAAAGCTGAGTAGTAAACATAACCTATTAGCAAATCTAATAGAAAGAAACAAACCAAACAGGATTATAAAGAGATTTAAGAACCAAGAAATATACTCAGACTGCATGACAGAAGAAGAAATAATATCACAGTAAACAGTGAGGAGCCTGGAGGTCCAACTGATGCTTAAATACACTAACCAAAGAATAGCTGTCAAGGTGATGAATGCCAGAATCATTTGCTACCAATCAGTGGCAAACCCAGAAAGGCACTCAATTTTTATCAGATGTTTCAAACTCTGAAAGAATGCTAGAAAGCAATGAAGTTACCAGTCTGCAGAGCATCAGAAAACAAAACTGCAAGGTTTCAGTCCCTGAACCCTGTACCCTAAAACAGTACCTTCATAGACAACCAGAAAGCTTGAGATTGAAAAATCTAATAGAATTTCCAGGTCTAAAAACAACATGCTGAGAGAATAATAAAAAGCAAATGAAACTGATACAACATATTGATGTTTTCTGCTCTGAAAATTCCTGTTATAGTCAGGGCTACAATTCCCTTAAAAAGATGAAAATTAAAGTAAGAAATCTTGCAAGCATTTTATAATGGTTCATTTATATGTAGATTCCAATGCCTTCAAAAGACTTTAAATGAATATAGCAACTGAACTTTAAGTGAATATTATATTCATACAATTTCATACAATATCAATTTTGCTGGCAGATAAAGTAGCCAGAAGGTCACACAACTAGCCTCAAGTCATGTAGCAAACCATTTACAAGTGAAGATAGCAAAAGCCTTCCTTCCAAGCCTCTTCTC